TACAGCAATGAAATGTTTTGACTATATATATTAAAAACACCTTGTTATTCACCTCTGAAATTACAGCGAAGCGTTTCAAATCCTGGACCAAACTCTGACATTATCTAGTGTGTGCCTAATTTGGCCACCTATAATGTACCACGAGTAGGGATGTAACTGCATTGAAAACTCCTATCATGCACTGCGTATGGAAATGTTGCTATAGTGGTTGATTGACATACTTTAGCTGTAATGCCGGTTCCCAGCATGCATTGCACAGTGAAGTAGCAGGAGTGTTTTTACCCAGTGTGCACTGCACATCGTGATGGAGCTGTAAAAACAACAACACAGGCCACAGTGAAGTCACTAGAGCGTGCCAGTACCTGCATGCTTATTTATTTAGTTTCATCTTTGCTTTTAGTAGCAGTGTTCAATACTTTACGAGCCAAAATAAGGTTATATTTGAAGGAGAGTAGTCTTGTGCCAGCCTGCTCTTCTACCTTGTTGAAAAAAATCTCACCATTAAAATCTAAATGTGCCATTGGTGGTGACAAGAAGTCATAAGATGAAAACATTTCCATTCACAGCTCTCACAATGAGCACTACACCACCGTGTATGTTAAAGAAAATGACTAACTTTTTAATGAAGTGTGAGCTCATTGAAATGGGGCTTCAAAATGGTTTGAAATGCACACAGGGCAGAGAACTGTTAAGTGGATATTTAGATAAGATTTTCTTTATTTAAAGCAGGTAAGTCCCAATGAGAATTCTAACATAATACGCAATCCAAAATACAAACAGCTCTTATCTTTCAGATACGCCCAGTAGCTAGGCAGTGTGTGCAGAGTGGTCGGACCATGAGTTAAGCTTTAAGAAACAAAAACATTAAAATCATTGGCAGATGCCCTGTTATTGTGGCGCTACTGCATTGACATTGAAATGTACGAGTGCTATTACATTGACATCACAAGTATCATAATGGCACCCATGACTGTGATGTTTTTTAAAATCGAAACTTCATACTCTTGTTTGGGCAACCTTGAATCCTCTTCCTTTATTTTACAAATATATTGTGGTTAACCATAGTTGGGTAAAAGGCCAGTTATTTGTTTTGAAATGTATTTCAATTATTGAAACTAGCAAAGAGCCCATTAAGATGCCATTAAGATGGTTTTCATAACCCTAACAAATATGGTTATGATTGGTAACTAAATTGTAATTTATTTAGACTCGAGCAAGAGATCATTGGTGGAGTGGTAGTGCAATGGTGTGTGCGTTTCACTGTGAACCCAGCGACCCGTGTTCGATTCCTGGCCTCGGCAAACATAAGTGGCTAAAGAGATAGCTGAACTAACCAAGCACACGTCTCTCTTCACAAACCCACACCTAATCCAGCGTGGTGAAGTACGGTCATATAACCCCTCCGTGACGAAAGGATATTTTCATCCAGCAGTGGACTTATTCGGGCCGTACGTTATAATAGTTCATTGAGGTTCTTTATCACTTTTTAAATGGATATATGTATTTACAGGCTTTATTTTATACCACTTGAGAAATACAAAAATATGTTTGAGGTGTCTGGTTTACTCTGGGATTGATGACACGTTATAATAAAGTGAGAGAAAAAAAAACATTAGCGTGCACAACCGAAATGTAAAACATCAAACACACAGGCTGGTGAGAGTGGAGGAGGACCCAGTGTGTGTGTGTGGTTTTTTTTGTTTGCGATGGCTAGAGGTGAATGGGGGTGGTAAGGATTGTCCCGCAAGTTAATGTTTAAAGAGCGGGGCGCAAGCGGCAGGCGGCACAGTCAACAGCACGAGCTGAGCGGACTGAGCCGGGCTGTGCGCCCCATGGCAACGGCCAGCGCCACACCACCACCTAGCCCAGGGTGTCGGCAACCTTAGACTCACGGAGCCGCATTCGGCTCTTTAAATATTGCTTGGTGAGGCTTTTTAAATCCTTTTTATTAAGTTCGCGTGCTTGCGTGCTTGCTTGCTTACGACCGTGCAAATTTCGGTCGTTTTTTAACCCACTTCCCGTGATCCAATCGAGCTGACATTTTGCACACAGACTCGTTGTGCGAGACAATTAATGTTCGTGAAAATTTTTTTCCAAAATTTTACACTGTTTAGGGAAAACAAATTAAATATTTAATTACCAATTGCTTAATACTGGCAGACAATCATCTGACCCATAGGTGGCAGCCATCTCAAGCCAGAGGACGAGAGGACTCTAGCTGCCACGCATATAAAGGATTTATAGTGAAAAACTTTGTTTTTACGGGTTATACTTATTAAAATTAAGAACCACCGTCTTGTAATTCACATGCACTGCGGTTCTTGAAATATTGAAGGTTTTTTTGTCTTCCGAATTCGTGCAATAAGTATAACCTGTAAAAACTAAGTTTTTCACTATAAATCCTTTATATGCGTGGCGGCTAGAGTCCTCTCGTCCTCTGGCTTGAGATGGCTGCCACCTATGGGTCAGATGATTGTCTGCCAGTATTAAGCAATTGGTAATTCAATATTTAATTTGTTTTCCCTAAACAGTGTAAAAATTTGTGGAAACTATTTTTTCCGAATATTAATTGTCTCGCACAACGAGTCTGTGTGCAAAATGTCAGCTCAATTGGATCACGGGAAGTGGGTTAAAAAACGACCAAAAGATTTGCACGGTCGTAAGCAAGCAAGCGAACTTAATATAAAGGATTTAAAAATGGCTGCTATTATTTTGGATGCTGTGGCCCCCGGACCTCGAGCCCCTCAACTCTTCTCTCTGGCATTCCTCCTCTGTTTGTCGATGGAAATATAAACAACTATGGTAGAGGTACCTAACTATATATATTCAGTCACTGGTATAAATATAGAGGGGTATGTGTGCAGCCTGTGGTGATGAGTCTGCTATGGAAGGAATAAAGTTTTGTTTACTTCTCAACTACTAGTCATGAACAAAACTGCGCAGAACCCTATAACCTGTAGCCTCATTATATTCTTTGCCCTCCACCACCCGGTCTCTTTGTACATGAGGTGTGACACAGTGCTCATTGCGATGAGAATAGAGAAAGTATTTTGTCTTGGGTTTATTTTACTTGCATCAAAGGTCATCGATCATGTTGAGCTGATCAACACCATTTGGGGCCTAGCTCCTTACACTCAAAATGAGACCTCGTTCCCGTTGGGAAAAATATATCCAAAGTGCTGTGAGTGACCGACTGACGTTCACATTAATATTGTTCTTATAGGGACGTAGATGTGTGTTTCTCTGTAGCCCATTGCTTAATCAGGAAGATGTCTTCTAGTAATCTAAGACTTATTCTAATCGGTCTATTCATGTGCCTTGGCCTCAAAATATCTTAATCTCTTCGTTGTTAAGATGTTTTCAGCTTGAAATCAGTACTATTAGTGGCACGCAATACACGTTCATTTGTGCAAGAATTTCAAATATATTTATTTTTATTGTGTTACCTTAGGTTTTGTTTGCCGTGCCAAGGACTTCACGCCCCAAAAGAAGATTACATTTTCAGCTTTCTTGTTTCAACGTCTCCCAATTAAATTCCACTTCTATTTGTCTCATGTCGGAGCCATCGCAGTGAGTCGTGCGCCACCTAGTGGCCAGCGATTGGTCAATGCTAGGGACATCCGACTCGACAATAAACGTTTTTAACTTATTTCTTAAATAACACTGCTCAGTGGAGAAAGGGAAGTGAATTGTTCGATTATTGATTGTTTGATGTCAGATACGAAATTTGCCGATAGTGTTTACCTTAAGGAGACCGTTCCGGGAATGAGCGTGCCACTGCCTCATATCAGCATCAGAAGCAACACCATCTAAATTACGTGATGTTACAATCACGGGGTATAACCAGGAAAGCCTCGTTGAGTCCTGCAATGTAATTTTTGAGAATTTGCATGAATGAGGGTTTATCTTGTGAAGAATCTGGAGTACCAGGAGAGAGCCCACTCATGACAAGATAACACTCAAATGAGTTTGCCCGACTACCTCCTGGTCACCGTATGGCCCATTGGGTTTGTGGGTCCCACGTGTGTGATTCACCAACCCTTGCCTCCCAAAGCGCCGCATCACAGGAGCTCGTCACCACACCCATCACTCATCGAGTAGGTTAATTAAATGTCAAAATGGCATCCCTTGGCAGCGTTTTGGGCAAGTCGGAGCAAAGAAAAGGTTGCATATTAAAATTGTTCAATAACAATAAAAGCAAACCTCTTACAGCGAAAATACTGTGAGTCAGGTGAAAGCAGAGCCAGTAGGTAAAGTTGAGCCACGACATTCACGTGCCTGTGAGGCTCTGGCTGTTTGGCCAGGGCTCCCCCTGTCTGCACACAAGGTGGTCACAGAGATGGAATCCAGACAGGGGTCTCAGGGAAAGACCACGGGGGCACTGGCGAGCCCTCCTATGTGTTTTCAGGTTGTGCTGTTCGGGCATGATGTCTGACATTTTGCTGCACGTGCTGGGAACTTGCTAATGCCGTACAAAGCACAGTACAACCGCAAAAACCAACGCGGTACTGTAGAGGTCACCCGCATCAGTGGTCCTTTGAAGAGTGCGCGTAGTGCGTGTGTGTCGGTTTTATAGTGGTAGCGCATTGTGCAGTGAATCCAGCCACCTATGTTTGGTTCCTGGCCACCGCTAACATCAGTGGTGAATGATATCTAAATCACACCTGGGCCTCCCAAAGGTCAACAAGTAATGTACACCCCTTTGTCAATGCACTGTTGGATAAATGCTTCTACATGCTGTGTCAGTCATGGATGTTGTTAGGCCATGCTTCACCCTGCTGGTCAGGCTTTGGGTGATGTATGGTCGTGCCTGGGAATCGGACGCAGGTTGACGGGTTCTTAGCACAGCACACGAACCATCTTACGCTTGTTATAACCACATGGGCACGGGTGTTGGTGTGTATATGGCGCTGCTGGCGTTTCCTGGAGGTGCATCGGGTTCCTTTTTCTGCAGACCGTCGTGCTGAACTGCTTGCCTCTTCTCTCCCCCCCTCTGCCAGTTGTCATGTTGGAGCTATGGGAAGCTGCAGCAGCTGTGCTGAGAGGGATGAACCAGACAACCACCCCACTAAGTTTAAGGTGAGAGAGCTTGCGTGTGAATGCACGCGTGTGCGTGGGAGAGTGGTGGCTTTCCAACCGCTGGTACCAGCGCCGTCAAGATCGGCCGGCCCCTGTGAAAGAGGCTCCTGAAGGGTGTGCTTGGGCAGTTCGAGGCAGAGCCTCCCTCCAACAAACAAATGTGGGGGCAAGAATGATGCTCACAACTGTGTCGTTAGTATCCATTGCCAGCATCAGTTGTGCAATTTGGTCAGCAAGCTCATTTTTGCACGTACCCATGCTGAGCTGTGTGTGGCTCTACCAAAAAACTCACGATAAATTGCAACCTCGCGCGGACAAACTCACGCCTACCCCTAGCACATTCCCAAACTCCGCATACTTTGAGGCAAGGTTGCCTTCGCCATCCCCAGGCACCTTGATTTTGGATAGCCTTCCAAGTCCCCACAATCCACCAACATAATTCAGATTTAACAGGGGTTTGGCACACTTTTTTTTCCTACCATGCCCTTTGTTGTACTTTCGGGTTCTGAAATTCAGTTTGGAGCCCTGGGGCATACTACTCACCTCTATTCAGAACCCCTACACCACAGACCTTCCACTTGCTTTCACCAGGTGAGCTAGACAATGGGAGCAGCTCCACCCTAAACCATTACATCAGGCTGCCTACCTAATTGCTCCAAATCATAACTCAGTGCACGGTTCGAAAAGCGTGAAAAAAATCTACAAATGGGGAGCAAGCAATTAGTCATTTGCTGGGGTGATGAATCATTCCCCTCCCCTCATGCAAATCCCATCAATCGTGAGCAAGGGTGGTAATTCTGTAGCTCATCCAGTGGTCGTCCACGTCCCCACACGTGCAAGTTAAGCCCATCACAGCTCAGTCACACCCAATAGGCTGTTGCACTTGCTTCTAGAACCATTGATTTTTGGACAGTGCTCCAGTAGTCCTAAATTTTGGCAGTCATCCCAACTTCGTCAAAAACCTGCCGAACCCTCTGAGTAGTTACCGCACCTCGTCACAACAACACTAATAATATACAAGTTGAAGCATCGTGACGTGTAGTTATCATTATTATTGTACCTCTTCCACTCTCCTCTGCTCCTTCCTCACTCTCCCCGCCCCTTTTCCCCCTACCGCGCAAAACTCTTCAGGTGAAGAACGTCGATGACGACGGCAATGAATTAGAGTCGGGCATCATGGAGATCACGGACCAGGAGATAATTTTGCACACGCGCAAGCGGGACGCAGTGCGGTGGCCGTACACCTGCCTGCGCCGCTACGGCTACGACTCGAACCTCTTCTCCTTTGAGAGCGGCCGGCGGTGCCAGACGGGGCAAGGTGAGGACACGCCACGGCACTTGGCGACGTCTCGGCGTTCGTGCTACCGAGCCGGCGGGGGAGTTTAGGGGGCTGCAGCAGCACGACTGTGGTGTGAAGTCTTGAATATGTCTCGGGAAGCATGAGCTTAGATTTTTTTTCCACTTCGTTAGGCTTCTTCCTCCAGACTAAAATCCTGTTGGGGTGTTACTATGTGGCGAGCTCTAGAGCGACACATGTGAGAAGGCGCAGCAGCATTACCTAGTGTGGATTAGAGGTGACTGAAGGGACATCGGAAGTAGTTCTGAGAGGTGATCTTCCTCGAGAGGCCGTTCTCTATCACGAGTAACTGTGACGGTTAAATCTTGACTTAAAGCTTTCGTAACTGCAGGAATTCATATTCTTGGGTCTTTCGGTAAAGTCACGTCGATAGGTTCAAAGAAAATAATAAAGATAACAAAAAAATAACAATAAACTACGACGTTTCGATCGCAACACAAGCAATCGTCATCAGGAGAAAAAAGAGCGGGAAAGCTGCTGAGGCATGTTGGAGCTGAGGCGCAGTAGCTTTCCCACAATTTTTTCTCCTGATGACGATGGCTTGTGTTGCGATCGAAACGTCGTAGTCTTTAGTTATTTTTTTATTATTTTTTATTACTTTCTTTAAACCTATCTACATGACTTTACCGAAATACCCAAGAATGTGACAGTTAAATTGAGATTTATTCACCTCGTTACAACATGAGACTCATAGCAGAATTGAAGTGTCACTTGGGGAAGGAAGGGGGAGTAAAACACTTTGTATAAAAAACAGAGCAACTTAAGTCTTGCACAGTCACCAATCCCCTCTTCTCCCCGTCTCCTCGTCCTCCCCCCCCCCCCCCCCGTTGTCACGTGCAGGCATCTTCGCGTTCAAGTGCGCGCGCGCCGAGGAGATGTTCAACCTGCTCCAGGAGAACATGCAGTGCAACCGGATAAATGTGCGCGAGGAGCCGACGCGAGACCGCCTGCACTCGCATGCCGAGTCCGAGCTGCCGCGTACGCCGCGCACGCCCACCAGTACGCGCACGCACACACTCGCGCACGCACACACACGCCAGTACACGCGCACACACAAAGATCCTGGGGCAAATGCTGTTAACAAGCACCTATGAAGGCTGCCACGGCGCTTAAGGGGGTTGGGTGGTCAACACCATGCTTGGCCGCCTTTGTCTCCCTGGTGCTGACATTTAGACACCACACCAGGTACTCATTTGAGGCTGAGTCGACCTAGGAGAGTCCCATGACTTGTTCAAATAATTTTTTTTGGTGTTGGCCGTGAGTGGGAATCGAACTCGGGTCACCGGGTTCGTAGCGCAGCGTGCTTACCGCTACACTACCGCTCCCCATGCATAAGACAAAGACACATGCACATACGCGCATATACACACAGAGTAAACACACCCACCAGTCCGCGTGTGCACGAACACATGGCTACACACACAGTGTACACATGTACCACATGCACACAGTTGCACCCTCACCAGTACGCATAGATACATACATGTAGACACGCAGTATGCACGCACACACCAGTCGCATGCACCGCACACACACCAAGCGCACGTGCGCACTTGTATACCCACTGCACACACATAAACTGCTATAGGAATGTGGTATTGCGACCTGCTGACTGGGCAGTTAAAGGAAATTAGCTCTGCTCCCTCATTTGACCAAGCAGACACGTTTCCTTAAATAAGAATGTCTGTCTACCATCATGTCCCTTATCTGTCTGTCTGTACACCTGTGTCTCTTATCTGTTTTCTCTTGTGGTACATGTCAATCTTTTTCTGTGTATGCCTTTTTCCTCTTATCCATTTGTTTACCTATTTGTCTGTGTCCAATTTTCTCTCTTGTCACTCATCTGATTCCCAATTCTCTCTATTCCCACCCCACCCCCGTGTGTCTCTCCATCGTCCCGTTTCCCCGCATTGCGCGGTCCTTGCCAGCTCCGGGCTACGGGCAGCAGTACCCGCGGCGGATGTCGTACGAGGAGAGCTCGTCGCACCCGTCGAGTCGCCACCCGTCGGTGGGCAGCGCGCGCCTCCCCTCGGTGGGCGAGGAGTCGACACACCCCCTCATCGTGCCCGACGAGCAGGTTGGGCGCCCGCGCCGATACGCACGCGAGGGGGGGGGGGCGGTCGCGTCGCTCGGAGTTGTGTTTTACGTGCAAATGTGTCTATTCGTATTACATTTGCGCTGATGGGTAAGTCATAAATAATGAATACACATATACGTTTATTTATATGACGTATGCTGTGTGAGTCGTGGGGTTTATTTTAACCATGCTGGTCAGTGTGGGTTGGCGGAGGTGACCTAGGGTGCTGGTTCTTCACTGACGTTTGCCGTAGCTGGGGATTAGAGTCTGGTCGTCGAGATTTGTGATGTCGTATGAAAACCATTGCACCACCGCTCTGCCCTTTTAGGCAAATGAAGCTTATGAAACTTGGCGAATAGATCATAGCCCAATGATGACGATGAGCTAACAAAATTGTGCAAACTAGAGATAAACAAATACAAATAATACAAACGACACAAACATAATTAACTCTTGAATGTGATCGCAACACAGTTAATCGAACCGCTGTTTGGCGAATCATCTCGTGCCTACTTCCTCCTATATGCAAAGAGAGCGCCGCGAGAATTAGTTTAAACGCTTGAGGCTCTCGTGCGAGTAAATGCCATTCCCTTCACGCTCCTGCCCCCCAACCCCACCTCCGCTATTCCTCAGGTACACACGTACGTGAACACCTCCAACGTACACGAGGAGCTCGGCTCCAGGTCTGGTGGTGGTGCCACTGCCGTGAGCTCGGCCAGCGCCCCGCCAAACGGAGCGAGTGGAGGTTCGGCGGCCGCAGCCGCTGCCGCCGCTGCTTCCACTACATCGTCAGCCGAGCCGGGGCCCGCCACGGGCCCCCGCGGTTCCATGGAGGAGCGCAATCCGCAGGTGCAGTTGGAGTCGCAGGGAGCCAAGTTCATTTTGGGACCCACTCCGGCGCAGAAACGTGAGCTGGAGCGGCGCCGCAGGCGCGAGCACCAGGATGGCGACGCTCAGCAGCAGCATCTGTCAGCCGTGACGCTCGCCAACACCAATGCTAACGCCGCCACCGTGCACGTGGAGGACGGAGGCGCTGTCGTCCCAGTGTCATCCAGCAGCCGGAAGGAACCAGGCATCGGTAACAGCCACGGCGCTAGCGGCAACAACAACCGGCTGGTGTACGAGAACGTCAATGGCTTGCCGCCACAGACGCCCGGCGCGCCATCCAGTAGGGCAGCAGTGGAGGGGCAGAACGGGAACCCCGTAGTGTCGGCGGCGGTGGTGCCGGTGGGCGGACGGACTCTGCAGAACTACGAGAACTGGCCAACGCTGCCCTCGGTGCGCGAGGAGCCGGCAGTAACAGCGGTGCGCACGCCGCTGCGGAACGGATACCACCCCGGTGCCGCGGGGCTGGTGGACACCCAGGCACCGGTGGCCGGAAAGGGCCACTCCGATTTGTTGCGCAAGCGGGAGGCAGCGCCCACAGTGTTCAGCTTCGAATTCCGGCGCGGCAGCCTGCTGCAGCACCACCATCATCACCACCACCATCACCATGGCGCGGGCGGTGCCGGCAGTGGGGGCTTGGCGGCGCTCAACTACATCCAGGTGGAGCTGGATGAGGCGGGGAGCAGCGAGGGAGAGAACGGCGGGGGGGGCGGTGCGGCGCCACGCACTCCGCGCACGCCAGGCACGCCTCTCCCACAGACACCGACGCGGCGCACAGAAGTGTACGCCACCATCGACCTCGAGAAGACGGCCGCCATGTCGAGCCTGCAGCGTGCGCTGCCACGGGACGATGGCACGGTCCGCAAGACGCGGCATAACAGCACCGACCCGCCCATGTAGGGTCGAGTCGACGGTGGTGGTGGCGGCGGGTGCTCCCTCAGCCCTTCTGCCGATCGCTCATGGCAGCGTCTGCACCAACGCACTCGCGCGCGTTCCATGTCAAGCGCATCACGCTTGCCGCGAGCTTTGTTTGCCAGGCGAGCCTGACATCGCCGTCCCATTTGCAGTGGAGGGTGGTGGAGGTGCCTCGTCTTGGTTGTTGTGGGTGTTTGTGGGGGTAGAGGCAGAGTGGGAGGATAGGGGGGTGCATCACAGTGTTAGTAGTGTTCATACATTCATGAGCGCAAGCCTCGTCTCCTGGAGAGGCTGTGGCACAGAGGAGTGAACGCTGGTAACGCTGTGTCGCCGGACGAGGAACGGACAGTCGCAAGTGCAGACGAAGCGTGCCGATTGTACTGGAGGCCCGAGGCCGAGCGTTGCCCCCGCACTTCTTCAACTCCGCCGGTGACCGTGCAGTTCACAGCAAAGGGGGACGTCCCACCGGCAGCGCTGGGTGGCCGGATTCGCTCAGCCAAAGGGGCCGTCTTGTAAATAGGTCATACATTTTGAAACGGTTAATGATGTGCCAACTGTCGGGTCAATTTAAGTAATGCATTTCAGTTAGCTGTGAAGCAGTGCGAGGGATGGGAGTGCCACGGAGGGATGGGAAGGCAAAGAAGGTAGAGGGTAAGCGATGGAAAGTGTGGGTGAGTGGTGAGACTTGTGAAGTGTTCGCGGAGGTGTGAAAGGACACGATTGTCATTTCTAAGGAAAATTAAATTGAACCAGTGCCATTCCCCACTTTATTTGAGCTGCATAAAGCCTTGTCCTGAACGTAACGGTATATGAGGCCACATGCCTGTTTTTACTATAATTGTTGTTACTGTGTGAATATAGTTTTTTATCATCCCATTCCTGTTGACGGTGGAGAGGAGTCCAGCTGAAAGCTACCTTGCCTTCCCAGCATGCAAAGCAGCGGATTGCGCAGGCCTTGCTTGCTGGGGGGCAAGCGGGGCTGTGTTTACGGAATTCTCACTCGCGGTACCTGTACGCGCTTTAACTGTGCGACTCATTCCGTGCAAATAAGCTTCCTTTACTTAATTTTTTTTCAATGACAAAAAAGTGCCCGTGTTATGGTTTTAAAAAAACTGAAAAAAATCGACAAATTATTTCCCAGAAACAGACCAATTTAAAATGTGAATGTGTGCATTCGTGCGTGTATTTGTGGGTGTAGCCACATGATCAGCGCGTGTCTCAGAGCATCATTTTGTTTGCAAAACTTGACGGTGCGTCTCATCTTTTCACGCTACCAAAAACAACACTACAGCGGTGTCCATTCCTCGGCACCCTTGCACGCCGCTGCGGTTGTACGCAGACTTGTGTCCTGCGCTGGTGGCACACCGCGCGTCCTCCGTGTGGCTTTTTTTTCCAGTCTTGGTGTGTTTTTTTTTTACGTCGTCTTCGTACCGGTGTACGCTTGTCCCCTGCTTGTTTTCTCAGCTCCATGCTTTCGGTTTAACAAGTGCCCATGGTGCTTGGCGGTACGGTGCATTTGCCTTGCGCGGTCAAATGTTGGCAACGCTCGCGAACAGAGGGTGGTACGGTACTAGCGGTCCCAAAGTGTGTGAAGGTTTTAAATCTTGTTTCATAGACATCAAAAGTATTTAAAGAAATAAAGAGAGAACAATAAACTTACTCTAAGTTGACAGACCTCAAAGAGCGTTGGGTGAGCTTCCCTTAAAGCATTTTGTGTTGATATAATTCACGTTCTGTTAATTAGTGTTCTCTAAGTCCAGACTGGTCAGCGTTTACTGTATTGCCATGACTTGCCAAACCGCTTTCGGCGTGCGCACAACCTTCATCAGGTGGGGTGGGAAGCCCTTATTGGGGGTGAGGGTGAATCAATTAATTCCATATTTTTTTTTTCAAAGCTTAAAAAAGTACATTCATCTACTCGTGTAAAAATGTATTTTTTTCTTTTCACTTAGAGTTCATAATGACCCTTGCAGACACTACATGCCGTTGCATTTACGGCAGTGTTAAAAAGAGCATTGTTTATTGAATCCTGGCAAATATAAATCGACAATACATTGAATCGCCAGGAGGTGACATACCCCTAGCAATAACTATACAGTCAATGCAGGTTATTCCTTTGGAAGAGAAATGTACTTTTAAAAGCAATCCGCCCAAGCCAGGCTGCAGAACTAGCTGGTAGATTTTTTTTTACGAAGTGACTTCATGAGAATTTGTGGTGGTGTTTTTCTTACACAAAGCTGGCTATCAAAATAGTTAACGAGGCTGTTTTGGGGTTGGCCAGTGTTGCTCCACGCGGACACCACAAAACAAAACTGCTGTTCCACTGACCCTGGCATTGATGTCTCCCACACCATAATCCCGCACAATAGCATCCATAAATATGAACTTCTGAAGGTTCTTGCTTGGAAATTGTTGGCGATGCAGCGGGCCAAATTTGCTGAAATTTGAAACGGGTCTTGAATGCCAAATAATTATGAAATATCCCAGTTGTGTTGCGATTGTGCTGTTGTAATCACATTGTCATTGGATGAAAACATGTCCATTCTTAGTTGTCGTGAAGTACTGCGCTACGCCTTACGAAGAACATGTCCTGGAAGGGGACATCACAGATTTACTAATGTCCCTTCAAATATCATGAGTGGTGTCCTCTCACATGCCCTGTTGATTAAGTATTCATCTCATGGCAATCACACAAAATAGTGTTTTAGTCCTCATCCAGAATGTCGAATTAAGTGAAAGATCTACTTAAGTTTTGGTGCGTGCGGTCAATGGTGACTGAGTCGAGGCCATCCACTCACGACGCTTGAAAGTCTGGTTTAATCACAGGTGGCTGAAACCTGAATTCTAACCCAGGTTATCAAGCCCTGCCACCTTCCATACGCCCCAGCTGACTTGTAATCACCAGTGTTCAAATCTCCCTTGGTGGCCCACTCACCTTATTGGGGGCAATATTAAGCATCGCACCTTTGTGCGACAGTGGTTATGCTCGTTGAGAATTTTGGTCTCATGGGAATGTGGAATATCACTGGCCCACAGCTTCTAAAGGACACGAGCATCGCACACTGTTAGTTTCTGACTGTGGCACTGCAGGATGGGTAACGGCTTACAGAGGCCTTCATCCAGCCGTGGATAGATCATGTGTCCCGTTGATGCCAGTGTGAAATCAATCGTATCATGAAGCGAAGAAACCTCATCAAGTCGCTCGTCCTGGGTGATCACTGGAGATTGCTCCGGAAGATGACTCCACGGTTCTACCTAAAGTCACTTGGGCTGGGTTAGACGACGCGCCTTCACGCTCTGTGGACAACGTGTTGTCACATGCCAATCATCGGATATATTCATAAGCTTTAACCCTCTGTTTAGCATTTGTATTTAAAAAACTTAGGTTTGTGTTTTTTCATAAAGTCACTGATGTTGTGCCTGAAATCGTGAAACGTTGCTGTCGGTGGATTCTGGCTCAGGACTTAAACATTGCCATAATGAGCCACCCAACAATCCTGACACTCAATTCCTTCACGATGGATTGACGAATCATCGTGCAAGGACACTCCTGAAACTCGGTGAGTCTGGATAAATGTATTACGTAAGTGGTGGACAGTAACAATTATGACGCTAATCCTAGCCCCAGAATCAGCCCAAGCCTCTAACTTTAACTTTACTTTCCCATACTGTAGCCCGAACACTTAACGATAATCCTGACCCATAATCCTGAAATTAGCCATAATCTTTTATCAGCCTATTGCTGGTCAGATAAACAAACAGAAGTCATTGTTTCTTATCGTGGTCTCGTAGTGGTGTTGCAGTGTGGTACAAACTGTCCTGGAATTACGATGCCATACATCATCCGTGACGAATGTTGTCCCTGCCTACATACCGTTGTTACGACTGTTTTTACGACATTGGTGATTGGTACGCGACTGGGCTTGGGTTTCAGGTTCGGGTTGAGTTGGGACCAGTGTTGATCGGGTCATTTGTGCCAAATGATAACGGGCAGGTATTGTATAATAATGGAGTGAATTCTTCCAGGTGTTGCAGATTAAATGGGAAATGCACGTGCGAGCTTTTTGTTGTTTGCTCATCACATTGTGCTCTCCTGTCATTCCGCTGCAAACATTCAGACTAAACGTGCCGAATTGTACGGGAGAAGGTATGGCGATGTAAAAAACATTATGGTAACTTAAGAGCATTACAGATACGAATGTAAATGAGCGGTTCTGGTTTTACTTTCTTCACTACTATTCGAGGTACTATAGAGAGAGAGAGTAAAGGGCTCGCTGTCAATACGGTGGTCAGCTCTGGTACGCCAAACACCTCATCTGCTGCTGCTGTACACCTGGCCGGAGTGTTGTTGCGTGATCGCAATGGGTAACCTGCCTGTCAATCAAGCTCGATCATGGATCGCTGGAATTATGGAAGGCTGTTTGCGGTGCCAGTGTGTTCACTGCAAGTGCTTTTTGATGGACTGAGTCTCGGATTCCGAAAAAGGTGTGTGGTTGGGTATGAATTAAAAACTTGACCAATGTCACTTCCTACGCGCTCGACGGCTCCACATGGGAGCACACCTTTTAATGCATTCATTCATTCCTCCGCAGACATTTTAAGTGCCTTCGCTGTGCTGTACGATTAAATCATGTGCATTAATTGTGCGTCGGCTGCGCAATCAGTGTTTCCCCCCACCCCCTCCCGCACACAACCGTAATTATTAATTATTGTTAATTTTTTGTAATGTCTCCAAGTATGTAATTATTACCGTAAGCATTATATTTCCGATGAAAACTAAAGGAAATGGAAACAACCATCAAAGCGAAAAACTGTAGTCGCGTATGTAGATAAACCAGTTATGTACACTACCATGTACCATACGATGAAGTTAAAACGTAGTTGAAATTGTTTATTCATTTCAAAGATATAAGTGAGAAGGCGCTGTGTCCCCCTGCCGTCTTGCCACATTACATGAATAAACCTTGTAATAGTCCTGTAACCAAAACCAAACGCGCCTGTGCTGTCGTCTCTTTCCTCCGTTTCCTTGCGTTTGTGCGCGCCGGGATGTGCGCAGTCTGGAAAGCTCGGCCTGCAGAGGCTGGGTGCGAGTTCAGGTGCCGGTCCGAATCTACCCGGTGTCCTCATCACATCGTCATCATCACTGCAACCATCATAACCATTACTATAATTGACGACGTCTATTTCGTATAGATGACGGTATTGTTTCAAGTTAACATGAAAACGCGTAACAGGTGGGCTGCGAAAAGGCTACCGCTCTGGAAAACATTGCCATACACAAATAAAATAATCACCATTATAACCATCGTCACCATTACCATCATCGTTCTGGCCTATTCTAATCCCACTTACTCATGATACTCATCCAAGCTGTGTGGGATCTATCTAGTGGAGAGTGCCAATGATGAAGCCACATTACTATTCCAGTTCATCCACCTGCACGCATTATCACCTCGGACTGTAAAAGCCGACACGGCGTTTGTAGCCTCAATTTGATAGTCATCCGAGTCCTAGGTTGAACAGCACCACAGTCGTGTGCGATGTGCATACAGTATTTGTTGGACAGCTCGGCAGTTGCTTGTGGGAGGCAAGGCAAACCTGTATGTCTGACCGCCTACACTCATGCGCGTTGTGAAACTTCTCTAGCGGGTGAATTTTTTAAAGAATTTGGGAATTACTTTAGTCTGATCTATCACTCGCACACCAGCAAAGAAACGTAGGGGCTAAACGTAACCAAAATCACTTACGACTTTCCTGCGTAAAAAATTCAAATTGACTTTATTAACATTTTCTATTCAACCTGAAATCTCCACTCCTGACCTTCTGGGTTCGTCTTGTCTTGCCGAGCATGCCATCTCCACGTGAAACAGTCACTCGGGTGGTGGTGGGTCACTCCTCGCCGGTCTTTAGTTCGATGTGGGCCTCCCTTCGCCGCTCCCTTTCAACGGTGGACTCTCCACGTGGGTGGTCTCGGTGGACGTGGCTGCGTCGCTGGCCCAGGGTTCAGAGTGTGTCTGCGGTCCCCGCTTGCCCAGAAATTCCATGAACACCAGCTTCTGTGGAGGGACCAGATCCATTACAACAACAAAAATCACTGATGAACCCACTGCAATTGTAATAGCCCTTATAAAACTGACCATGCCGCATTTCCACGACGATTTGGAAGCGGGCAAAGCGTGATGTGAGAGCTAGGTGAGACTGGCCATGATTCCCAAGGCAGCTGTTATCGGGCTGCACCGGCACAATCCAGGCCACGCGGCTCTGCTCGGGGAGTGGTCCTCGCAGGCCGCCCCTGGAGAGTTGCGATGTAACGCGGTCAACGTGGAGGGGATGTGGCCATAAAAAAGTAACAATGTGAAATTGTCTTCTTGGTTTTTTCGGTAAAGTCACGTAGAAGGGAAATAATAAAAGAATATTCTTTTATTACTTCCCTTCTACGTGACTTTACCGAAAAAACAAAGAAGATGAATCCCTGCAGTCACGAAAGCTTTAAATCGAAATTTAATGTGAAATTGTTTTAACCTCATGCGTATTTTAAACGTTTTATTTATGGTGGTGGAGGGCAGAGAGTAGGCATGTAACGATTTGCCCCCTCGTGGTTTCATGAATTTGCATCGTGGTAACGGTTTATGCTCAGAATTGTTTTTTCATTCTAATCCGTGCAGCACCTTTGTTGGCTGTAGTAGTCACGTATATCCATGACAATAGTTTAAAACAATATATGTATGTTTTAGAGTTTTGTAATGGGAATGATTTAATTGTACATGTGAAATTTATTGAAAATAATTCTTATCTCCACAGTTTTGATGCATCGTCAATCTTGACTGGTACGAATGGACAGGATCTGAGCTGAGCCAGGTCTGTAGCTGGGCCAACGGGCCTACCCAACAAGCCGATCTGCCAGCAACCATGGGTGACCACGTCACGCAGAAGGCACCAGTCCCTCTTCAGGTCTCTGACGAAGCAGGGTTTATCTTGGACGGGTGTCCAACGTGGAACAGATTGCCATAGACGGTTGCCAGGCTGCGCAAAGTTGTGGGCAGCAGAGGGCGGTGCAGAACAATACACTGCTGTGCTGTACTGTACATCAATGCTCCCATATATTTGATCCTCACTAACCTGCACTGACTAGCGTAGTGAAGTATGATCAAAGAGCCCCCACGGCCCTCATCGTGGGGAGACCTTCATTTAAAAGTAGATTGACTACGTGATGTATATTATGTGGACGAGGAGGAAAGTAATTGGTATGAGAATGATGTGGAGGAGTGGAATTAATGGAGATGATGACGACGATGATGTGGTGTTGAAGTAAATGGAATGATGGTGATCGTGTTCATTGGATGAGATGAAGGTTGTTAGGTGATGGTTTGCTCCAAGGCAAAGACAAATATCTCCCGTATAGCCTTTACAGACTGTTCGGGAAAGTGCTGTTCGCGAGTAGCTATGAAGGCCAGTACGGGGAGGGTGGCCAGCACCACGCCCGATCACCTTTATCTCCCCAGCGGCGATGTTTACACACCACACCACCTAGGGGAGGCCTGGGACCTGTTCATATATTTGTTACTGGTGTTGGCCGCGAGCGGGCATCGAACTCGGGTCGCCGGGGTTAATAGCGCAACTTGCGCTACCGCTCCCCACGTGTCCACACACAAGCGTCTATCGAACTCGGGTCGCCAAGCGAACCGCTGCGCCACTGCTCCCCACCTGGGGAGTCGCGTGCAGGGGTGGCAGGTGGAAGGGAGAGTGAGGCGGCTGGGGTCGTGGCCGGGGTCGAGGTGGCCGCACTGGGGAGGGGAAGAACGCGGCGCCGCGGCACAGATCCCAGGCTGCACATCACGGGGCGCAGTGGGGAGGGGTGGGGGAGATGCAGAGACGCGGATAAATGACTCCCATGTCCATTCAGCACTTAAACATATACGGCCCTTTTATCAATTCTCTGCCGGATAAAGGCCTCCGATTAGCACAGTTTGGCTTCGTACGGTGCGAAAGAAGTTCAACGTACAAGTACACACACACGGCCCCGCGCATTCCGAGCAGGCCATGGGAATTATGTTAACACGGAAAGTGAGAAAATGTTTTAATAATCGACCAGAAATAACGAGTATGTAAATGAATGGTCAAAAAAAGAATTAGTGATTGAAAGGAAGAAAGAGAAGTGGCTAAGAAATTAAATATTGGCTGAGCAAGATGTGTGCGAGCCAATTGCATGTTTCCGTAAGCGCGAAAATAAAGAAAGTTCATCCAGAAAGAATGAGTGTGCGAATGAATGAAAACAAATGAGCGACTGAACGACAGAAAGCAAGAATGAATGACGATTGAAAGGGCCAAGAATTGAAATATTGTCCGAGCGAGATGTGTGCGAGCCTTGTTGCGAGTTTCCGCACGGTCGCGTGGCACCGGGGCCAGTCTCCCGTGGGCCGCCAGGATGCCCTCGATGCGCGCCGCCTCCTCGGAGCGACGGTCCGCGAGGAGCCGGCCAGAACGTCGCCCTCCGCCGCGCTGCTCGCCCCCGCACCGACTGCTCGCCCACACCTGGGCACGGCAAGGGTCACCACCATGGCAGCAGCAATGACGACAACGAACGGGAACGGGAACGGAAGCGGGGCGTGGGGGGGGAAGGAAGCTCGTAATGGCCCCGTCGGAGACACTTGAGCACTAAATATTCGGTAGCGGTTGTCGTCTCAGGCGGTTCATCGTCGCGATGTCCCTGGTGAACATGGAACGTTGGGGCAGCGTTGGTCCAACGGTTCCAACCACTTGCTAACTACGTTGGCCCAATGTTGCATATTTGCTGGGTCAAAGACCCTGATAGAGCACCGGTGGAATCTTGTATGTATGTTGAACTTCTTTCGCACCGTACGTAGCCAACCGCACTAATCGTAGGTGCGGGGGAAGGACAACAAATCGTGAGCGGTCACATTGTGGTAAAGATTGGTAGTAGCTACACAGATTTGTGAAATTCCTGAATCCGCTTTCCGCGAACGTGTCCAGGAATCGCCAGTGACAGGTTTCCTTCGCTTTATGTGGTCGTAGTAGATGCGTTGCAAAAAACGGGCGCAACGAAAGCGAAACCGCACGAGACAAGCTGCCTGCCGAGTAGCGCACACGATGCACACTCCACAATGCTGTCCCACGTCCGACCGCATGGCCCGCACGTGAGTGAATTCAAAACCGCAATACTGTATTGAGAATATTATTGGTTATTTTGGTAAAGTCACGTAGAAGGGAAACAATAAAATAATAAAAACATTTTCAATAAAATATAAAAATACATTTTATTTTATTGTTTCCCTTCTACGTGACTTTACCGAAAGAACCAAGAATGTGAATCCCTGCAGTCACGAAAGCTTTAAATCGAAATGTATTGAGAATGTTATACTAGAAATAGGTTAGCCGCATATAGGCAATAATTACACAAACCGAAACCCGCATGAAGCGAGGGTAAACCTGCACACCAAGCGGGTTAGCGAACCCATCCATGCAAACGTTCGATTATCATCTCGCTCGTGTGTGCGTGTGGTGGCCGTGCTGTGGATGCTGCGGTTTCCTCCCAAATGAAGCAAAAACTCTGCCTTATTAAAAACGCACGCACAGTCCAAACATGCCAATGCAGTAGGACCTTCGTGAAAGCAGAGTCTCTGCCATGGACGTCGTCAGCACTCACGTCGGCCTGAGGCTGTCTCTCGCTCCCCTCCTCCACCGTCTCCTCCGTGGATCGGGGTTTGGGTGTCGGGATTCTGGAGCTGTTGAACATCTCCTCGGCTCTTAGTTCCAAGCTGTGGGTAAAATATCTACAGTCATATTCATCATCATTATTATCATTTTCCATGATCAGTCCACTGCCGGATAAAGGCCTCCCCACGCCGTGTTTATCTTGGGGGTTGTGGAAATATTTCACCGCAGTGGTTAGTGTGGGTTGCTGAAGGGCACCGGACCAGTGGCGATGTCACTCGCGACCACTGATAGTTCCGGCCCCTTGAATCAAAGTCAGGTCGCCAGCGTCATTCATAGCGCATGGTGCGAATCACTGTGCTCCCCCCCCCCACCTCAATAACTTTCAGACCTTTATAAATCGACTGTTAGATGAAGCCCCCCCACCCAAACTCCACTCCCCAGACATCCTGTTGATCAGCAGGTTTGTTTGGTCAAACCTTTTCGCGTTGATAAGTTCCACCGTTTCCCGCCCAAAATTAAAATGTTACGGTTCTTTTTTTTGACGAGTGGGGCTGTAACGGTCAAAAGCCAGTTTCTCGTTGCTTAAAGTGAGATAAACATCGCGCCTGCAACTTGTTGGAGCAGCGCAACACTTTCGCGTTTCATAGAGAGCGCATTGTTTGAGCGCGTAATCAGGGCAGCCCCTGTCTTAGCACTCAGCCTCACGACATCAGTAAAGTTTTAGATTTTCTTTTCTTGCCCAGGGTTTTTTTTTCCCCTTCCACGCCTCTGCCAACGGCACTCGCTGAAATGTCATTTGGACGAAACTGAAGTTGCGGTAAATGATCTCGGCGCGAGCGCTGCGTCCATTCCCCATTAGCGGCGAGGAAACTCGCTCCTCTATAGCGCAGCGTCCGAGGTGTTTGTGAAAGAAAGGTCGTTGGGATTTCATCACCGCACTTTCAACGTATTTCACGAGCGGTCTCGCTCACTCGCAAAGACAAAGATTCAGACCCCCCACACCCCGTGTAGCCTCAACAGACCGTTGCGCGCAGAGTGCTGTTAGCGAGTAGCACCGATGATGATGTCGGGCGCGGCGCACGATGGGAGGTCGGGTGGCCAGCGCCACACTCGGCTGCATGTGTCTCCCCGGTGGCGATGTTTAGACATCGCACCAGCTGCTCGTTTGATGCTGGGTCGACCTTAGGGGAGGGCCCAGGACTGGTTCAGATAATCGTCGCCGGTGTTGGCCGTGAGCGGGAATACGAACTCGGGTCACCGGGTTCGTAACGCAGCGCGCTAACCGCCGTAACTATCGCTCCCCACGACTGGCATGCACACGCACGGACACGCTTCATACACGCAGGCGACGAGTTCAATCTGTGCACTCGGTGTGCAGAACGCCGAATTTGTTTATTTGGTGAAAAGGTTCGTTTTTATAACCGCGGCTGTGAGCGTTTTCAGTTGGCGCGTATTGCACATTGTGATGTATGGATCAGCCACATGGGCACTGGCAAAGCGAATGGAAGAAAATTAGAAAAGAGCACAAAGAAGCATTGACAAAGGTGTATATTTGGAATAGTTTTTGTTGTTGTTAGTACTGTTCATGATAGCAGATGATTGGTTGCTCCTGTGGTTATAACGTTAAATACGCAATCTGAAGGGTACGAGTTCAAATATCGCGGTTGGAGGTCAAGTGAAATCACTCTGCTATCTCCCTCACTCCCTCCTAAGGCCACCACACATTTCTCGGATGCTCAACCGGGACACATGGTGAGCTGGCAGCCCCTCCCTCTGTCAGCCCCGCCAACTTTTCCACAACCACAGCGATTCTCCTCGCCGTTCCTAACGTCTGTGGCCCCACCTACCACTCATCGGGCCCACTTTCTCCTTTGCCAGCACCGCCCACTACACAAGAGAGTCTCACACTTTGCCCGCCTCGTGGGTCAAGCATTAGCCCAGATATCTTTAAACCGGGGCCAAACCAGGAACGTTTGGCATCTACTCCTCCTGTCCTACTCCCTCGTGTCCCACTCCCTCGGCCCTCCTCACCTCCCCTCTGCTGGAGCCTCAGTCTGGCTGGCGGCGTCCGTGCACGTCACGTTCTCCAGCAGCAGGGTTCCATCTGCCTGGCCCGTTGGGTCTGGCCGAGTGACATATTCCTCGTCCACCACGTCGGTGTCCGTCTGGGCGCCCGTGTCTATGTGGGAGATTCTGTCCGTCTGGGAGATTCCGTCCAACTGAGCGGCGATTTTCGTCTGTGTGCCAGCGTCTCCCTGGGCACCCGTTTGAGTTTGCGTGTGCGTGTCCGTCTGCGCGCGCGCATTCCGTTTGGGTGTCTGCGTTCGTCCGCGTGCTCGTGTCTGCCTGGGCGTCAGTGTCTGTCTGCGCGGTGGCGTCAGTCTGAGTGCCGAACTCCCGTCTACGAGGCGCCATGGACATGGGAGCTGGTCGCTTCCTCCAGTGTCGCTCCTGCAGACAAACACAACACGAGGTGCATTATCGCGTGATGCACAACTCGGAGTCGAAAGATTAAGCTTTGGTCTCTCTGCTCAAGGGAGCAGAGGAGGGGTGGCGCTCCTTCTGCCCCAAGGACCATGACACACTCGGGGGAAATGGAACGGCAAACATTTCCGTGGCGATATCCGACAACAGTTTCATTAAAGTTCATCAACGTGTATAATGATCCTAAGGTGGAAATTCCGCCATTCCCATGGGTTGACCACTGTTGACCTTCCCCAAAGCGGTACGACATTAACGGACCCCTGGGGGATTGTAATGATAATTAGGACACCAAGCTTTGGCTTCCTTCCGACCCCCCACGGTCTGAACTTGGAGGATCCCTCCTGTGCAGGATTATAGGTGCCGGATAGATGATGGCCTGAGTCGTCCAAAACCAGATTCAAATGCTTTAACCAAGGTTCCACTCCGGCAGGCTATCTAACTCTGTAACGTGAAAATATTGCGAGAAAGAAAATTATAATCAGTAAAGGCTCACTGAGTCCTCAGTGTTTTTGCGAGGTGGAGAAAACCCATACACGTGAGCAGATACCACTCAAAGATCTGCACAGCTATGCAAATATTTTCTATACTGCGTTCTACAGGCATATTTAAATTTGTAATGCTTTTTTTCTCTTTCACTTACAGTTGGGATGAACATGTCTTGATCATCACTATCGTCTTCATCGTCATAATCATCGTCATCAACATCCACGTCTTCATCACTGTTGCCTTTACTGAAGCCTTCGGAAGAGGTTTTCTGAACACTCCGGACGTCTCCCCTACAACAACACGACAAGACGTCCCCGACTTAAATAAGACACTCGTGTCCAACAGCACGTGTCAAACGACGCACGCTTCAGGAAAAAAGAAAACTCTCATCCCGTGGAGAGAAGAGCTGGGGGTTGCTTGCTCGTTTGTTAGTTGGGGTGCCGCAGTGGCTAGGAGATGTTAACTACCTCGCCTGGTTTACAGGAGGTCGTGTGTTCGACCCTGACCCCGACGCCTGTATTTTTGGAGGTTGGATGTTCTCCCCGTGGTCGCGTGGATTTTTCTCCGGGTCCTCCGGTTTCTCCCTCCGCATTTAGAAACATGCGTTTCGAGTATTTGGCTGCTATAAATGTCCACGCAATAAGCCACTTGATTACGCTAGAATTTGTGGCGAGGTCGCTTCTGAAAGAGCTATACAGCTCAGTGGGTCTTGCCCGGTAAAATAAAAATAAACTTTTGGTTTTATAGTTTAAATAGGTGGAATCAGGGCTGCGCCCTTTGACCCCACCAAAGTTCATGCCCCTTAGCGGTGAATTGCGGTTATGAGGGTGCCCCCCCCCCCCACACAACAGTTCTTGTGCCCCCCCCCCCCCCACTCGATCCGATAGGAGTTGGTGCTGGGGCTAGTTAGGAGCAGGGTCTGGTTCTCTAGTTTTTATGGATTGGGGGTTCGGTCTGGTTGCCTCGTGTCTTGATTTGAGGGGTAGTATCTGGTTGCCGAGTTATTGTTAGGGGCAGAGCAACATCTAACACGGACATTTACATTGTCGTTCACTTTCGCTGCTGATGTTCACGTACCTCTGGGTCGCTTCCTCCATGAAAGACGCCATCATATTCGGCCACTTTGCTCCAAGAACGTCAGTTGCCTGGCCGTCGGGGTTCCGTGAGAAAACACAGATGTTCGCTAATAGGCACGTGCACGCACACATGTGCTGTACACGTATGTACACTCGGACAGTCATTCGTACAAAGCTGCCCCGTATAGACATACAGCCTGTTGGAGAAAGTGCCGTTAGCGAGCACCTATCAAGGCTGAAACTGTGCACGAGTTGGTGGGGTGGCCAACACAACGTTATTCGGAATCTGTCTTCCTCAGTGCTGGGTAAGGTGATACATTAGATACGGTACTGTACTCACTTTAGGCTGAGTTGATCTACAGGAGGCCAAGCATCAGGTCAGATATCACTTTCCACTTATGTTATCCGTGGCCTGGAATTGAGTTTATGTAACTGAGTTCATAGCACAACTCCTTCATGACATACAAAGAGACACTCTCAAATACACAGACACAGACAAATAAACATTTACATACAACCGCGATTCGCCACTAAAGTAACGTCACCACAGCATTTGTGCTGTCACTCTGAGGCCACGTGGAGTTGTTGAAGGCTCGCTGGCAGGAGGGCCCAGGTGCTCTGGATTAACTGACATGATTGGTTATATGCACTATGAGATCTCCTTTACCAGTGGCAAAATATAGTAATAGGTTTTTACCCTTTTAACTGGTACAAAAGTTGTACACCTTTTGGCGTCATCTGGTCCAACACCAATGGAGACTAGGCTCTAAAGAAAGCTGTCTCGGGTGTGGACCAATCAACTTCAAGGACAGTGCATATCATTATCATCATCAGAGTTGTTTCTTTTTGTTTGAATTTTGACTTCTTGTGTTGAGGTTATTGCAAACATGATGCCTTGTATAAAGGTGTCAGATTTTGTACCAGTTAAAAGGGTAAAAACCTATTACTATGATTGGTTATATGCACCCCACCTGTGGCAACTTTCTGTGACTTAGCCACCCATCGACAAACCAAAAAACACGCACGGTGCCAAAGAAGTTCAACATACGTACACACACACACTCACACGACAGAATAATAATAAAGTTGCGTGCGTCGCTGGGATCGCATGGCTTCGAAATGAACGTCGTCGATCTCTCACCGTCATCTTCATAAACATCTTCTCCCAGCGAAGCAACCTTCTCTCCTCTGCAACTCTTCTCACCTGAGAAAAATTAACCCGTAAAAACAAACTTTTTCACTATAAATCCTTTATATGCGTGGCATCGGTTTTATTTTATTATTCATTTCTGTTTTTCTTGAGTAAGAGTTTCATTTTTATCACATTGGTAGTTTAAATTAAATATGAAAAAAAGATTTTTTCTAAAAAGTGGAAAATTTTGGAAAAAAATTTTCACGAAAATAAATTGTCACGCACAACGAGTCTGTGTGCAAAATGTCAGCTCGATTGGATCACGGGAAGTGGGTTAAAAAACGACCGAAAGATTTGCATGGTCGTAAGCGCGCAAGCAAGCAAGTGAACTTAATATAAAGGATTTTAAAACATGACATTGACGCGTCTCCAGGAAAAGCCCCACACGAGTGACATTCAACTCAACATGTAAAGATTATTTGCGGATTCTGCCCTCTTGTCAGGTTCGCCGTTACGGGAAGAAATGTTTTATTCGCTGGTGAAAAGACAACTTGTGCGGAGAGGCTTTCATCTAGCAGTGGATAGATAATGGCTGATGATATTGATATTTTTGTATTGTTCGTTACCAAAAGGACCACACAAAAGACATTATGGATCATCAGGGAGCCATGCCCAGATATGACGCGCCAAGATGAGGGCAGGATTGTATATGGGTGCTTGCAATAATTTGGGTTCATCAGTGAACCGTATTGTGCTATAACTGCCAAGGAGTGGCAATGGTGCTGCATGGGTCTTCGTAATGTTTCGGCCTCATCACTGGTGAGGGGGTGGAGTGGAATTTTAAGTGGACTTTTTGTTGACCGATGGAATGAGGTTTTGGATGATGTTTTTGGTGGAGATGTTGGCGACACAACCGGTGCAGTGTTGGTTGGAGTGTTTGGTGGAGTGTTGGTTGGGGTGTTGGATCACACACTGGTCGATTTTGTGTGCCAAGGCAAACTCGCAAAGTGAACCGACTCATGGACTTTTGAACTTTTTCCATGGCGACTTTACCTCTGTTGTCTCACACGTTCAGGCCTCACACTCTCCACTCTAGCCTCACTCAATCAAGGCCCCCCCCCCCCCCCAATATTCAAATATGCTCAAAATGTCCCCCCCAATATATTGCTATAAAATAAATGTATGTTTATATGATTGTGGTTATGGTTGTACTTAATTAATCCCTAATCTCTGCCATTATATACAATGAAATAAGAAAAGGTAAAAAAGAAAAAAACAGAGCAATGTAATACAATACACTATTAGACATTAATGTAATAAAGAAATAAAAAGTCCATCCTATGTGTTAGTTATTTTAAAAATATTTTAGGCAGGAAATGGCAGGAAATTAGTTTTCAAATTTAGTTTTTTTTCTGGGGGGGTCCCCCAGACCCCCTGGAAGATTTGGTCCCCTCCAATGTTGACTCCATGGCTACGGCCTTGCACACAATCGACCCCCAGCCTCAGTCAACTCCTCGGCAGGTTGCACAAGCTGAGGGGCTCGTGCAAGGCCAGGCGGTGGTGTGCAGGTGGTGACCTCCCCTGCACTGAAAGGTCACTACCTGCTCGTGCACCAGCTGCAACCGCCTCATGGCGACATCCAGAAGCCTCTGTTTCCTAGGGACAGATGGACACACACACGCGCGCGTGGGCAGGGGCGCAACAACTCATTTCAACGGGGTGGACCCCCCCTCTCTCCCTTCCCCCGACTCACTTCTACTGAAAAAGCTACGGATGTGTGTTAACCCGTGTACAATAATGTGCAGGCTACAACCATGTATTATTGTTCTCCTTAGTTTTTTGGTAAAAAAAAAAAATTCTTTACATTTTTTTACTTGTTTATCTTGTTGTTGATTCGGCCCCCCCTTGTGACCGACTGGGCCCCTACGCGTCGCATGACGCTACCACATACCCCCCCCCCATAGTTGTCTACCACATACCCCCCCCCCCCCCCCCATAGTTGTGTCCCTGAGCACGCGGGCACACAAACACCTCCTCTGCATGCGGCTCCAGTCACTCGGTCAGTGTCAACGGAAGAGCTCTCTGCTCTAGTAGCTACACACCTGGCCGTGTACGTCCCACGCGAGTTTGAATCCTCGTTCAGGGAAGGAGGGTGGGAAAAAAAGACCTTTAAATTTTTGATCAAGGGCTCGGTCGTAGCGCAATTTGTAATGCCACTGCAGTAAGGTATTGAAATGTATGGGTGTGATGTCACACGAGGGCTATGACGAAGTGATGATGGTCAACAATAGCTATGACGATGACCACAGCGATGATCATAATGATGGCAATGGTGGTGGACGACTGTGAGGATGATGGAGAGCAATGATGATGATGAGAATGATGATGACGATGATGGTGGTGGTGCTGGGTGCGGGGGAGATGATGAGGCGGAGAGGAGGAGGAGGAGGGACGAAGGAGGAGGTAGCGGCCATTGACCGGCGCCCACATCTGGCAGTGCTCGTGTAGGGTCCTCAATGTCTCGCTCTGCCCGTGCCAGTGAGACGAGTAGACCAGCGTGAGACGGGACAATTCCCCGGCGGGCACCTGCACGTCTGATACACTTCGTCACACATTATCATCACCATCGTCGTTAATATCGCAGACGTTATCATTGTCATCGTTACTACTATCATCTCTCCATGGCCATCCCCAACTCATCTTCAGCCTCTCATGTATTTTTGTGCCCCTCTTTCGTGCTCACCATTCCCAATCTTCTCTCTGTATCTCTCTCTGCCTCCTTCCTTCTCTCTGTGCTCGATCTCGTTTTAGATCCTTCTCCCGCCTTGTATCCCTCCACTGGAATCAACTTCCCCTGTACATTGAGCAGTCCCCTTCCTTAACCTCATTTTCCTTCCTCTCTCGAAGCCTCACCTCTTCTCCACTGCCCATTCCCTTCCTCTTCCCTCCCCTTGCCCCTCCACTCCGTCTCCTCCCTCCTCTGCCCTTTCGTGACCTCATATGCCCTCTGTTACGATCACTCATTTCTCGACCTTTGCACTCCCTTGCCATCTAAATCACTATATTTTTGTACCACTTTTAAACTATGTAAAACACCTTTAGCTAAGGCGACTGTTTAACATATTCCTGCGGAGGGAGCTGGTAGGAACGTTGGGTTGCTCGGTCAATGGCCAGGGTCAACGGCGGCGTGGTGTATTCCGCAAATATGCCCGACTGTGAGGGCGGGCACAAGCCGGCGTGAGTAGGTTAAACGTTGAGTTTTATAAGGGCACCACGGGGTGATCAGCCCCTCCCCACCCAGCCCCAATCCACCCACCCCCCACCCAACCCCATCCTCCCCACCCAGCCCCTCCCCACCCAGCCCCTCCCTGCACGACAGACGGACGGACACAATAATCTCCTGTGGGCTGGTGTAACCAGGAGGTTCCTACCAGTATAAATATAAAATATTAAAAGATCAACATTGTCACCATGACTGTTATCATTGTTAGTAGTCATGGTGATGTTGATAATCATCACCGTGGCTGTTATTAGGAGTAGGATCATCATTGTCAGCATCATTATCGTCCCTGTCATAACCATCAGCATTATCACTACCAGTCTCATTCATCATCATTGCTATCCTGAGTATATCGTTTATTCACGTTCTTTGTCAATTGTTGCCATCACTGCCAGTGTCATATTCATGATGATGATCATCATCATAACCAGTTTAATCATTGTTATATACATCATCATCATTTGTCTCATAGAATTGTAACTGGTGTCTAGTGGGGAGCGAGTAGTGTATTAACCTGCACCGGGCCTCGTCTACGTAAACTCAGCCTTAAATGAGTGGGAAGGCCCCTGCTACCTGCGGTGTAGGCGAGACATGAGCAGGAGAAACCTCGCGCGCAGGGCCCCGGGAAGAGAGTGCTGGAGCAGCACATCCTTAAAGTCCATGAGCTGTGGACAAAATGAAAACACGGGGGACGTGAAGATGGAGAGAACATGAAGACATGGCAACATGAAGATCCGGAGACTTGCAAACGAAGAGACGTGTAGACATGGGGACATGAAAACCCAGAGACTTGGAAACGAAGAGACGTGAAGACATGGGGACGTGAAGACCCAGAGACTTGGAAACGAAGGGACATGGGAACATAGATACATGGGGATAAAAAAAACTCACATTTAAGCACAGAACACAGTAACTTGATGATAATACATGTAACCATCAAGACACAGAGCTAGTGAGACACCGGGACACGAAAATATCGTAACGTGAAAATACAAGAGTACACGGAGACACGAAGGCACGGGGCCATTAATACGGAGAGACAAGACAACACAGGGTCGTGGAGACGTGGGAACACGAGAAGCCACTGCCATCACTGCCGTCGTCACCTCGGCCACGCAGCCGCGGGTGAGCGCGAGGGCCGACACCGTCTCCTGAGACAGCGCCTCGAAGCGGTTCTCGTCACGGGCCTTGGGGACCCCTAACTCGTGTGGCCCTGGCTCGGCCTGCACCCCCGCAGCATACACGCACAACAACAACAACAACAACCGCCATTCGCCACTAAGTGGCGGTGACGTCACCATGGCGCTTGTGCCACGGGTCGACTGACTAAGATGACTGGCCGATGCACCACCTGTGCCTGCTACTGTGCCAACTTGCTGCGCTTCAGCCACCCGGTGCTTCGGTCGTTGTGAGCGTCGCTCCTCCGCCCTCCGTTGTAAATGTTGAAGGGCGACTGCCTCCAAATGCCCAGTAGCGTCCTTCACGAGCCTTCTCCACAGAGGCCAATCTTGACACCGCTGGTACCAGTCATCGGCAAGTCCACTCAGCTGCACATCCTCTTGTACCACATCACTCCATCTCATCTTTAGCCCCTGGCACACCTGTTTAGCCCCCTCTATCTGGCCGAACAAAAGCTGTTTAAGCATGCGGTGGCTGGGCATGCGGGCTACATGATCCAACCAACGCAGCCTTGCCTGCCAGAGGAGCTCACTGATGGAACTTTGTCCAGATCTTTCAAGGATTTGTGAGCTCCTGACACAATCCAGCCTTGTTTAACCCAGGATGGATCGTAGGCAGGCCAGCCTAAATGTTTCTAACCGGTGAAGATGTTCCATTAGGGGGGTCCATGTTTCGCAAGTGTAAAGAAAGGAGGGCATGACTGTGGCCAAGAAGACCTGCAGCTTCGTGTGGAGCGACAGACCAGGTAACTTCCACACAGCGTTACGCAACCGATGAAAAGATAATGCCGCTCGACTATCGCGGAGTAACACCTCTGCTGTCAAATTGGAGCCAGTCATGAGCACAGTGCCCAGATATGGAAAAGTCTCCACTCTCTCCACAACTGCCCCATCACCAATTTGGAGTTGTGGGGGTGGAGTGTCTGATGGTACAAAATACCCAGGCAGGTGCTTAGTTTTGGTGGGGCTGATGGTAAGGCCCAACCTCTTCGTGGCATGCTTCAGGTTCAGCAGCAGTGCCTCCAACTCACCCTCTGAGTGAGCAGCAATTACCAGATCATTGGCATATATAACATGGTTGACCAATAGGGAGCCATTCCTTGACTGCACCCGGGCATCGAACAGCCTCCCATTATATCTGTACTAGATGGAAATTCCTCCGGTACAGCCATCGAAGGCATCACGAACTACGTGGTCCAAATAGATGTTAAATAATGTGGGAGCCAGAGGACATCCCTGTCGCACCCCAAGGTGAACAGGGAATGGTCCCGACTCCCTGCCACGTAGTTTTACCCGGGCCCACTCACCATACTGAAGGTCCTTAATGATTGTGAGCAAACTGTCAGGGACTCCGAAAGCACGAAATACAACCCAGAGCCCAGGCCTACTGATGGTATCATAGGCTTTGACCAGGTCACGCACGCGCACACAAACACACGCACACCCACTCCTCCATTCAAACACGCTCCGTCACACAGATTCCTCTGAGTCTTAACGCCATCTCAATCTATGTATTGCTCAATTTAACAGCATTTCAAACACAAGCTCGCTCATATAATTGTTCAAACACCTGCTCGCACCAACACTTTACCCCAACACCTGCTATCCCCAATGCCTGCTCACCTCAACACCTGGTCAATCAATACCTGCTCACTATAAATGTTCTCGATTGGGTCAAACTTTCCACGAATGAGTGTTTGGCATGTGGTCGGACGCTTGAGAACCCAAAGAAATTCATCAGCAATGTAAAGGGAGATAACACTTAACGACAACTGCACGCGTACATTCAAGGGCCCATTACTTGCATCTCATAGCCACCTCGCGGCCAGGCACATTAAACACGTTTACAAAAAAATGTTGGCAAGAACGCCCTGTGCCAGGATCGTACGACCAGCTTGTTTACGTAGGAGCAGAGTGTTACTTCATGGTTAGGCAGGGGTGATGGAAGAGGTGTGCAGCCGGCTCTGTTTGACCTCACTCGTGTAGCCTGACGCCCCCCACAAGGTCATCCTCTAAACATAGCTTGTCTACCTCATCCCCATCCACCTCGTCGTCGCGTTCATCCACACGAGCCAGCGAACCGCCCCTCTGCTGAAGCCAGCCGGGGACGCCTGCTGCTGCTGCCGCCGCCGCACATGTAAAAAATAACAAGTTAGATTCCCTGTACAGGTCTTTGTCGTACAGGTAAACACCTACGTGTAATATTTAGCATGGAGGGGGTGCTGTCGTGTTTTTTTAGGTAGTTTGTAGCCAGTTGAGAAATTTGTACATTCACATGGCAGATGCCACTATTGTTGGTGCACACACACAGTGGAATGTCGATCCGTCACAGAGGGATGATGGGCCGAGTTGAACCCTGACCTGGAGTTCGACTCGCGACCTTCTGTTCTAACCACATCAACGCCCAGGCTTTAATCTGCATTTAAATTTGACGGTGGCTTGGAGAGACATTCATCCAGCAGTGGAAATATCGCGGCTGAAGATGATTTATGAATTAAAATGATTGTGCCGTCTTGCCTGATTGTGAAGCAGTGAATGGCAAAGGGGGGTTGTTATGACGAATGTTCTGTGAATGGCCTTCTAACACCAGGAAACCCAGTGGCATTTCTTTGCCAGGCCACACCGTGACGATGAGACTCAAAAGGATTTGAGACCGGTTCAAGGTTTTGCTGCTCACACAAAGGCTCCTGGGAAATTCTGACCAAGAAGACAAATGAAATGGCCTGATGGACTAAAATGTATTTTTGTTGGTAGTGAACTGACCCTTGTCGATCCGTGTTACTCAAGGCAGACGATTGACTGATGTGAATCCCAGTCGTGTTCTTTGAAGGATCATATTGGATAAAGTATACAGTCGAGTCCACGTTTTACACGATTTAAGTTTTCGCTGTACACTTTTCTTACGTACGATCACCCATCAGTGAACCAAGTCATTCGCACGCCCATGGAGTGTGAGATACAATTAGTGGCGTTACCTTCCGTCTTCCTTATTGGTGGCATCGTGGTCGCTTATTGCAGTGGCTGTCTGCGGGGACCCACACACGTGGTGGTGGTGGTGCTCGCGTTGTCACCTCTGGGGTACATAAAACCGCGACATATCGTGGGAAGAATGAATGTATGTTGAACGTCTTTCCCACTGTACGAATCCAACCGTACTAATTGGAGGTGCGCAATATCTCACAGTGCCAGAATCGGTGAGAACTACTACTGTACACGTAAATGCATGGTCTTGAGTGGTTTATTATTATTATGCAACTGACGAAACCCGAAATTGTTAATGCCATGGGAAGACTGACAAGATATCCAAAAGTAAGGGCCATCCATAGGGGGGAGGGTGCGGCCCCCGACGCCTTCAAACTAAACTGGAAGTATTACATTTGACGACCGTGACGTTAAAGCGCGCCCCCCCCCAAAAGTACGGGGTCCAGGGCGGTCGCCCCGATTCGCTGAATCCGAGTGACGGCTCTGTCAAAGACTAGCTACGTCGAAAAGGAGGACGTCCTGGGAAATCCAGGACAGGTGGCAACGGTAACCTGGCAGACAAGCAAGCAGATACTGTACATCACAGAGGGCCTGACCCTGACTGATCAGTGGAATGATGGTCATTGACTGTGATGCTCATATCGTACATTTACCACGGATATGGAGATTTATTGATGATGAATTATGGAGTATTGGAACTATTGATAATAAGGGATTTCTGTTGATGAATTATTGCTTATTCGTACACTCATAACGTCAATTAAGTACAAAGACTTATCAATGAAGACGTATGGTCGACAAAGGAATTACGATGATAATTTATTATCAAAACCATAATCCAAATACCTTATTTTCCGGAGTATAGGACGCTCCGGAAAGTAAGACGCACCTCAACGTGTACACCGCTGTCAATAAACTTACAACGAAAAACCTGGTCAATGACAAAGATGCCCCATATAGCCTTAACATACGCCGGGGGCAAGTGCTGTTCGCGAGCACCTATCAAGGCCGGCACAGCACACGAGCGGGTGGGTGGCCAGCACCGCCACCGGCCGCCTTTGTCTCCCCAGTGGCGATGTTTACACACCGCGCCGGGTACTCATTTGAGGCCGCGTCTACCTAGGGGCCTCCCAGATGCCGGTTACAGATATTCGCCGCTGTTATTAATGAGTCGTTTGCGGGACTCGAACCTGGGTCGCCGGGTGAAAGCGACACTTTTCACCACCGCTACCCCCCCCCCACCACCACGTGTGGAGACAGAGATGAATCACAACGCACGTGCGCGCCTACTGCACCATGAGACGCACAACGCCAACTTTATGATTGAAAGCGCGCGCGCGCAGGAGGAAAGGCGCGTCTTATAATCCGGTACAGGGTGTATATATATATAAAAACCCCATTGTCCCACCCGCCCCCCACGGCAACTCACCTGTGTCCTCCACTGCGGTCGCTACCGCCACTCCACGTCGCTGCGACGCGGGCTGCGGTCAGTGACGGCGACTGCGTTCGCTCTGAAATCTCAGTGATGCCCTCCCCTCCCCTCGCCTCTCGCTCACTCACTCATCGCATTGGCGTTGTTCTTCTTCTCTCTGGGTCACCACCGTCAGTTGGTGGTGGTGGTGATGTTGTTGAATTGCATCGCTGGGGTTGGGGTGACCGGCTGGGGGGGGGGGGCGTGGTGGCGTTGGGGGGTTGGTGGCGACCGCGTCGCGTTTTGGTTGTCACGGAGATGGAAGTCAGTCCCGAGACGCGACGAGCCCTGGGGGGCAAGGGGTGGGGGCGAGGGGGGGGCAAGGGGTGGGGGCGAGGGGGGGGCAAGGGGTGGGGGCGAGGGGGGGGCGAGAGGGGGGGGGCGAGAGGGGAGGCAAGGGGTGGGGGCGAGGGGGGAGCAAGGGGTGGGGGCGAGGGGGGTGGGCAAGAGGGGGGGGCAAGGGGTGGGCGAGAGGGGGGGGCGAGAGGGGGGGCAAGGGGTGGGGGCGAGGGGGGGCAAGGGGTGGGGGCGAGGGGGGTGGGCAAGGGGTGGGCGAGAGGGGGGGCGAGAGGGGGGGCAAGGGGTGGGGGCGAGGGGGGGCAAGGGGTGGGGGCGAGGGGGGGCAAGGGGTGGGAGCGAGGGGGGTGGGCAAGGGGTGGGCGAGAGGGGGGGGCAAGAGGTGGGGGCGAGGGGGGGGCAAGGGGTGGGGGCGAGAGGGGGGGCAAGGGGTGGGGGCGAGGGGGGGCAAGGGGTGGGGGCGAGGGGGGTGGGCAAGGGGTGGGCGAGAGGGGGGGCGAGAGGGGGGGCAAGGGGTGGGGGCGAGGGGGGGCAAGGGGTGGGGGCGAGGGGGGGCAAGGGGTGGGAGCGAGGGGGTGGGCAAGGGGTGGGCGAGAGGGGGGGGCAAGAGGTGGGGGCGAGGGGGGGGCAAGGGGTGGGGGCGAGAGGGGGGGCAAGGGGTGGGGGCGAGGGGGGGCAAGGGGTGGGGGCGAGGGGGGGGGCAAGAGGTGGGGGCGAGGGGGGGGCAAGGGGGAGGGGCGATGGGGGGGCAAGGGGTGGGCGAGAGGGGGGGGCAAGGGGTGGGGGCGAGGGGGTCACTCGGGGACACGGAACAGGGCGAGGAGGGGGGTGGGCGAGACGCGTGCCACAGAATCCCGTCAACTCATCGATGTGCTCCTTGCAGGTTGTTGTAGCGCTTTCCGGCACGCGCTCGTCATTGTAAGCGTTTCATTAAACCGAATGGAAGCTGCCGAGTATATTTATATTCCCATATATTCACGAACATGTTTAATGGATACGCGTACTGGGAATATAAACGTGGAACGTAAGGCCGACGTTTGCCCGACGATTGGCGTGTTTCTTGTTGGGAGGTTCGCCCTCTTGAAAACCGGCCACGTCGATCAGTGGTGTACAGTAGTCCAACACCCGGAGATGCCCAGACCAGAGCAAAGCGATCACGTACGGCAGTGACACATACGCGTACTGCACTTTCAAATACACAACGCGATTTCGTACTGCTCGTGAAACACACACGAGGACAAACAAACGCACGTTGGAACTCGTCCCATTATAATATAATCCATGCGGTGTGCATGGTTTTTCTTGCTTGTGCTGTTACCATGTCATGTATCGTAGCACTGTCAATTAGCGTGGCGTGGTGGCGCAGTGATAACATTTGTTGCTAATCTCCTGAGTTTGTACGTTCTGTACGTTCTCCTATGATCACTGTTTCATTGCTTGTATAGCTTTATTTTGGTGATTTTCGAAAAGTTTTTTGGTTTGGCCATGTTTGTTTGTTGTAGTACAGAGTTAGACTGATGGCCTTAATCTAAGTTGTCTTGTGGTTGTTGTTGTTTGACTTGCATCCCACTGGGATTTTTGCACATTTTTGTGTACGGTGCTTTTTCTGCAATATTTTACAGTCTTTTCTTGGATTTTCTGTTTGCACATAGTCACATATTCACTTTAAGATGTTTTCTTGTTCATGTTTTTGTTTTCTGTTTGTTGCGGTTGCACCCGATTCAAGAGCCGAATGGCTCACAGGGCTATACCTAATACATGAACTTGAACTTCTCCCCCCTGATCTGCATCGGGTTTCCTCAGGTTTCTTAGGTTCCCTGTCACAGATAAAGAGAACGCATGCATTGTAACGGTTATTGGCCAAACATCCCAAATGCTGATGAATGACACTGAAAACTACCCGATTGGAATTCCACTCAGGAGCAACAACACCCCCCCCCCCATATTCAACAACAAAACACTTGCCAAGACTCTCCTGAAAATTAGTCTTGAGACTCAATGAGGCCTTCCTTGGTGAACAATCGTGACAATTGCTGCGGGGAAATTGGTGGCTTTCTTCACGTATTTTTTTAATAGTAAAAATTTTCTCCGGGACAAAGAGCGCTATAACGAATCAACGTTCTACCGGGATCACACTAAGCGAGGTCTCCCCTGTACAGCACCGTGCTGCATTCCCCGGTGGTCATCCAGAACAGACCGTACGACATAGAACGTCGCAATGTTCCCGATCCACAAATACGAAGGAGACATGATAGCGATACAGTCCGCTGCCCCTGCATGTGACATTGTAGTTGTTGCTCTGCCATTTACATCAGCCATACAAAATATGACTAAACAAGATTGTGGATCAAAGCAAACATTATCATCACTATTCTTTTTGTCACGCTCCACATTGAAATGCGCACAGAATATATACTTACCATCAGTCTATTGTTTTTCCAGACCCAATATTATCCAGCAAGCATTTGCTCAGACAAGCCAACGGAATTAAAACTTGGAAAGCGATTCGCGATGAAGGCCACCAGGGGGCAGTGATGGCCTCCAATCGATTCCTCAACACGCTTCTCTGCTTTCTTGAAGTCTCCACCACTTGGGTGCAAACGTTAGGCGGCGCTCATCTCTCCGATTGGTGAGCCCTGAGCCATGCGTGTGGACACTCCACATTCTCGTGGCGGGGAAAGGGGACGGTTTGTCCATACGACAACCACTAAGCCGGATATGATCATCTTACTTTTGAGACGTGAACCACATTGTTGAGTCGCACGTTACTTTTAAAGAGACGCGTACATAATCAGACTGCAGATGACGGCGCTCCGGCGAGTTTGGCTATTTTGAGAGATTGCACAAAACAACCGCGGACAATGACGGTGTCGAGACGGACAGATCGGACTCCACATGTCACCACCGCGCCCGCACAGGAAGCCGTAGGGGGTGTGAGAGGAGGGTGGGAGATTCACCCGGTGAGTCGGGATTGTGCGAGGTGGCAGCGCGCGCCTGAGAAGATGTTGGGTGCTTGAATGAAGGGCGCCTTCTTGGGTTGGAGGGCGCGGCAGCTGCTTGTGTCACTCCACTGCTGGATGACGGCCTGTCCCACGCCACCGTGCGCTGCTCAGGACGGGTTGATGAGGCTCGCCGTGGGACATTGAATCCGAATCAGAATATTTACGTGTACTGGAGGAATTGGATGAGCTAGCAGAACGCTCTACACCGCGAGGAGCATCGACGTGACAGTACAACCAAACGCAACCTGACCACGTCAAGGATTAAAAACGTGACACTGGGATGTTATTATCGCGAATTAATCAGATTCTTCATTTAGATTGAAATAATCCGATGAGCTATTAAGCTTTTTTTTTTTTTAAAACAAATGATGAAGCCGAGTGGGGGCAGGGGGGTGGTTGAGAAGACATCGCCATGTCGTGTTGTGGGAGGCGATGGGGGGGGGGTGCCAGCCCCCCAACCTGGCCACACTCATTCCTGGAGGTGCTCACAGCAACGTGCAAGCCGCACTAAAGGCAACCAGGGGCCACACTAAGGTCACCAGGGGTCGCACTAAAGGCCACCAGGGGCCGCACTAAAGGTCACCAGGGGCCGCACTAAAGGCCACCAGGGGCCGCACTAAAGGTCACCAGGGGCCACACTAAAGGTCACCAGGGGCCACACTAAAGGTCATCAGGGGCCGCACTAAAGGTCACCAGGGGCCACACTAAAGGTCACCAGGGGCCACACTAAAGGTCACCAGGGGCCACACTAAAGGTCACCAGGGGCTGCACTAAAGGTCACCAGGGGCCGCACTAAAGGTCATCAGGGGCGCACTAAAGGTCACCAGGGGCTGCACTAAAGGTCACCAGGGGCCGCACTAAAGGCCACCAGGGGCCTCACTAAAGGTCACCAGGGGCCGCACTAAAGGCCACCAGGGGCCTCAATAAAGGTCACCAGGGGCCGCACTAAAGGCCACCAGGGGCCACACTAAAGGTCACCAGGGGCCGCATTAAAGGTCACCAGAGGCCTCCAGTGGCGCCGCGGGTCTTTACAACGAAGTCCACTGCTCCAGGGCAGCGGTTGCCAACATTTTCGAGTGTGCGGGGCCACTTTTAATTTTGCGGACCACCGCACGCTCCCGGTTATATAAAATTGTTGTCATCTCCTCGGTGTGGATGTTATTGTTGTTATTTATTTACCGCGATATCGCCCCCCCCCCCCTCCTCTCCCCCCCGTAGTAGTAACCTCACGGACCACCTGGGGTACCGCTGCTCTCGAGATTTCATGACACGGGAGGTAAAATCAACTTGCAAGCTTCGAATGGTTTGTGGCTTTTGTAGTTAAGCGTATTAAGCGTTGCTTACTGTCGATGTGATCGGGGGTGAGGAGGAAGGAGGTTGTGGTGAGCGAGACACGCGTGCGGGATGGAAGAGGTCGTCAGGTTGATGATGATGATGTGCGTCTTGAGTGGACGATGTTGATGGATGATGAACGGTTGACGGCTTATGACGATGGCTATGGGGTAACGATAATAATGACGATGTAACACAGTCACGGTGTATTTAACGCGCTTGCCATGCACTGAATTAACAATGGAGAGGAGTGGGGGGGTGCGTGTGTAAGCAGACCCGCATGCATTACACCGACTCTAATGCACCACCGCGAAACTCGATACAACCCCAGCAACCACCGTGCATTCCCAGCTGGGCGCTAGCCCTAAGGATGTCCCGCCTCCCGTCATAGGCATGTGGAATTGCCATCGCTGGCCCCCGCCAGCAAATGGGGCGAGGTGACCAGGACCTCGCCGGTCCGATGTTGATGTAGGGGGGAAAAAAGGGTACTCATTTAAGGCTGAGTCGACCTAAGGGTTTGTCGCGCAAAGGTTTGCGTACACATT